GGATCTGCTCCAGTTGGAGGCAGGAAGCCTTTCCACACCCTTAGTATGGGGTAGGGGCATTGCCAGGAGAAGGTCCTGTGTCCCTGAAACAAATGCTGGTGTCAGCAATGGGGCAGTGGGGACTCCGGTTGAAGTCTCCACATTCCTGAGATGTGAAGGGGAAGATTCCGTGCGTAGAGCAGAACTGGAGACTCTTTACCAAAAGGAAATATTATCGGCTGGTAAACGCCGTAGATAACAGCTTATTTTTTTTAGCTAGGCAGTGTTGATTCGATTGATTTGCTTATACTTTAGTTGCGTAGAGCAGAACTGGAGACTCTTTACCAGAAGGAAATGTTATTGGCTGGTAAACGCCGTAGATAATAGGCTTGTTTTTTTTAGCTAGGCAGTGTTGATTCAATTGATTTGCTTATACTTTAGTAGCTATACAATAGGTGCATTGGAGTTACTATTCATACTTAACTAGTGCATATGTTTAACAGTAAAATAACTAGTTTAATACAACCTGTTTACTTGGAAGTAAGTCCCACTGGGTTTGGCAGTAGCTTACTTCAATGTAAGTATGCACAGAGTTGCAGACCTTGGCGACTGCTGCATGGAGAGAGTTTTCTAAGGTTCCTTCTGCTGCCGTTGCGCATGCAGAGACATTCATAGTGGCAAGGGGGGGGTCCACACTGTGATTCCCCCCCCCGCACACTTTCCTTGCCTCACTTCCCAGTGGCACCATCTCCCAACACAGGAGGACTTTGGTGTGCTTTTGAAAAAACTGGTAATTGGTATATTGCTACAGCTTAAGGCTTTACTTTACATTTAAATTTTAGATTTTTTTCTTTTCTAAAATAAGTAATTAACATAGGCCAATTACCCATTTGGCCCAGGCTAGCCTGGTCTCGTCAGATCTCAGAAGCTAAGCAGGGTCAGCCATGGCTAGTATTTGGATGGGAGACTTCCAAGGAATACCAGGGTTGTGACACAAAGGCAGGCAAAGGCAAACTACCTCTGAACGTCTCTTGCTTTGAAAACCTTACAGGGTCGCCGTAAGTCAGCTGTGACTTGATGGCAAAAATAGCACAACCTGTTTGTGAAAACAAGGTGGTGTGGTGTGGGAGGGATGGTGGCTACCAGGGAATGAGGCAATGAAAATGGCCCTGATACGGGTGAGAACCACATACAGTTTGGCGGTAAGGAAGCCGAGATGGTGCAAAAACCTCTGCACGGAAGCAGACTTTTCGGTAGATGGAGCATAAAAGTTGCAGATGAGAGCCTTTGTGCTTTTTCAGTTACTCAGTTGTTCCCTATAGTGCCGTTGCTCCGTGGTCACAATATACACAGTGCCAGCTCCATTTTCATGGCAGAGTTCCTGCGTCTCCAGCAGCTGCAGCCTTCCCTTAGCCACATCTCCAGTGAAGACACAGAAACCCTATCAGGAAAACATGATTGCAATCCTATTTATTGCTGTTAGTACACCCAGTAGCAGCTACCATTACACAGTGCTTTAGCTACACACAACAGAAACTCCTGAACACAACGTAGCATTGGCTTGATTGCACACATGGCACTCAGTACTGTACCATTTGTAAAACCCACCCCCCTTTTGGCTGCAAGGTGTCAAAATTAATCTTTTAACATGGCTAGTGAGGAGACACTCCAGCCATTCAGCAGACCAATGGAGCATGATCATTATGTCATCAAGGGGCATTACGACCACTGGCAACTTCTTCAGAGCCAGGGGAGGGGGAGCCAAGGGGAAGTAAAGCAAGAGCCAATCTACACCTGCTGCAGAATCACTTGATAATTTTCCTAGATGAGATTCGCTAGTGAAGGACAACCCACATCTGCACACAGAAAACTAGCTCATCAGGCAGAAGGCTAGTCCAGAATCCTTCTAACATATGGACCAGTTTTCTAGGAGCAGGATTTAAAAAAAACTATTTAAGTGAGGATTCAACTATGAGATTCTTGCATCTCCAGCTGTGCTGTGTTTAAACAGCAGAGTCTAGAAAAATTGAGCTGTATCATATGATTCTGCTGAATCTAAATATTGGGTAAGATCCAGCCAAATAGTCCTGGTCCCACATGGCTTTTGTCAATGCAGTTTCCATGAATGGTCAAAGGGGACCCCTTCTCCCTTTTCTTACCAGCAAACAAGTTGGTTGGGTCCCATCTATCACGTGTCTTGAGGCTACAGCTGACACCCCTTATTACACGGTATATACTTGAACAGGCTCCACATGCTCCCCGCATCCACGCTACCTTGTAACAATTTCCTAAACAGTTACTCATACCTGTACAACTGCAAAGTAATAATTGCAGGATAACTGCTGTTATGGAGGAGAACTAAGTACAAGGAATGGAGCTAGCAACCACACTGCAGTTAACATTGTTCACAAATTATACTGCAATTAGTGATCGTCAACTAAGGAAGTCCACTCTGTGCCAACTAGTGGAATTACACCTTGCTCTGAAGAGATGGGAACATTGTGAAATTGCCACCATTTCTCCTGAAAGAGTTTTTAAAGAGTCTATCCTGCAATTATGGATTTCCCTTCTGCTAGAGGCATAGAGCATCCTTTAGGAGATGGGGGCCACATTAACCTTTGCACCCTCCTCTTGCATTGTAATATAACTCCACTCTTGCCTGGCTTTGACACCTTAATCATCACAGAGTCCAGCAGGCCACACTTACAAACTACCTTCACAGTGGTTGCAGTGTATTTACTGTTCACACCTCTTGCAAGTTATCTTGTCATGAAAAATTCCTGTTAAAGAAGGTCAAATAGGATCAGTGAAACTGCAGCCATGCACTCGTTGCAAACTTGATTGCTGCTTTCTCCATGAATTGCAAGTCTGTACGATTCCGTTCCAGGCACAGATACTGTTCAAATAGTTAGTTACACACACAGTTCTGATTTGCATGCATAACTGTACATTTACAACTGGTATAAGCTTTCGAGCGGCTACGGGTTCATCCTCCATTTCTAAAGCATTTCTGCTCCAGGTTCTCTGTGCAAAAGTAAACGACACTGGGAGAAAGTGCTGTGATTGACGGAGTGTAAACTGCCCTTTGGGTTGTGCTCCGCCCAGGACTTAAGACCCAACGGCACTTAACACTATATAAATTAAGACATGTGAAGTGGCTGGGAAAGTATGATCAAGAAGGGATGTCTTTCTCTCCCTAGCTGCACAGCTTGATCATAACTGCTGGTTTAAGACTTGGAGATCCACTTTCCCCTCACAAATATCTCAGCATGATTGCAGGGATCAAATTCCAGAGAGAGCAGAGACTGGTTTCTTCTTTGTTTTTATAGCAGAGATCCTAACCTTTGGGAACTGAAGGATCCTCCTGCTAAACTGTGGCTACTACTAGTTTGTACCGAGAACTTCGAAAGGCTGTTTTGTACCGAGATGGAAGTTCTGTCCCTCCCACCCTTCCCCCATGAAGCCTGGCAGCTATATACAAGGAGAGAGAGAGAGCTACGCACAATCCTCTCGATAAGCGTGGTTGCCCTTTTGTCCGAAAAGGGCAAGAAATGTTATTTTCCGCCAATATGCGTATTGTCCCTTTCAGACAAAATGGCAACCATATGTATTAGGAGGATCACGTGTACTTGCACTCTCCCTGTATGCCCATAATGACTGATTCCATTGCATCTTTATCCTCCCTTTCTTCCGAGGAACTCAGGATCTCTCTCCTTGTCCAACTGCGAGTGAAACTGAAAACTGATTTTGAAAATCCGTAAGGATATTTGGTTTGTTTTCAGATCAGGATGAAAAAAGAATTATCTCAGCTTCAGCTGAGGTATAAGGAGATTCTGTTGAGTTAGGCAGGAACGGCCAGAGACATTTTGTTGCCTGGGTCAGAAAATAGTACCCCGGTCGCATGTAATACTAAACAAAATAAAAAAATCTGCCACCTGTTTTGAGCTGCCTCGCCCTGCCTAAGGATGAGGCCAGCTATGGCGGCGGGAGATGAGATTTGGTTGGGCCTAGTTGGTCTTTAGATAGGGAGAGCTGAGGCTGAAGATAGTGACAGATTCAGCATTTATTTCTTTGTGAGGAACCAACAGCTGATTTGGCTCTAGGGATGCCAGGCTCCAGGTGGGACCTGGGGACCCCCTGGATTTACAGCTCAACTCCAGACTACAGAGATCAATCCCCCTGGAGAAAATGGGTGTTTTGGAGAGTGGACTCCATAGCCTTGCACCCCAATGAAGTCCCTGTCCTCCCCAGGCTCCATCCCCAAATCTCCAGGAGTTTCCCAACTTGGATCTGACAACCCTACCCCCATCCCCAGCCGGTGGCCAAGGGGAGATCTGGCGATCCTATTTGGCTTTGAGGAGACTGGGAAGAAATCATTCTGTGTGTTTTTTAAAAGCCATATATGTATTACCAGGGCTATTTTGGGGCAGGAAGGCACAGGAATGGAGTTCCGGCTGGCTTCAGAGTTGGCCACGCCCACTACAGCCAAAACCTCTGCATGTGTGGCTACAGAGGGAAGACCTGGAGAGCGACCCTGCCCCCGGCGACTCCGAGGCGGGCGGGCAAGGAGGGCCCCTGGAAGGATCAGGGAGGCATTTAAATGCCTCCCCGGGCAAGCCAAGGGAAGGCATGGGGGTGTGACCTAACATGCTAATGAGCCGTGCTGTCAGGGGTGTGTCCTAATATGCTAATGAGTTTCTGATGTTGGGTGTGGCCTATTATGCTAATTAGTTCCTGCTGGGCTTTTTCTACAAAAAAAAGTCCTGTGTATTACAGCGTCATTGTGGCCTTTAAGAGAGTAATGAGTTCCTATCCTACCCCATCCAGTAAGCAAAGGGAATTCCTACCAATGTGGGAACTAGTTCTCAGTTTGTGAGAACTAATGGGAGGGGTTCAATTTCGTGGGGCAAACAGAAGCCAAGGGCTCCTTTCCAACAGCCTGGAGACGTAGTTACAGTGCAATGACGGTATTCCCTGTG